CACTTGGGATTCAGCAAAAAACTGCTCTTCCTGTATTTCTAAAATGCCCAAATCTGTTGCTTTCATAAATCCTACTCTCATTTTTTAATTGGCTGAACTAATTAATCTAATTCTGGTCCCATTTATGAACACTTTCAGATCAGCCAAAATTGGAGTTTTCATTGAATAAATAAATCCCATTAAAAAACGAAACCAAAGCCCACCAGGCAGTGTCCGACCCTCATTTTCCAAACAACCTTGGGCTTCTTATAGCACCCGGCAGAGCTAAGCATGCCATCTCCTTCTCCCAGACCCCGTCCCCAGGCCTGCAGGAGCTGCACTGTCTCTACCTGTCCCACCAGCCCCAGGTCTGCCCGAGAGCCCGGGCAGTGGTGCAACATCACTGAGGTTTCCAGCTGGGTTGCGCTTCTTCCAGGAGCCAGAAAGGTGTGCTGAACATCTTGCTTTCCTTTTCTCAAGCTGTCATTATTTATTGGTGTTAGACAACAGCTTTATTAAATGCTGCTTCATACCGTTGCCAGGATTGCCATCCATTTTCTGTTTTACTGGACCCATCGGGTGGGATTCATTCAGCTAAACTTAGAGGGCTGCATAGAGAGGTCTCTATCTAGGCTTCCTTCATACAGGCAGTGGAAAGAAAGGGGCTCTTCTGGTGACCAGCCCTGCAAAGTGGACCATCCTTCAAAGAAAGACTCAAGCAGGCTGTATGGATGGTGGCACAGAAATACCTGTTTCTCTCCGCTTGTGACGGACTTTTCCAGATGTAGGTAACACCTTTGGAGATGTCTTAAACTTCAGACAATTTAGACAATTGCTGTTCTCAGAGATGTTGCATTTTATGACCCAGCACCCCGGGTGTCCACATGCCTTGAATAGCTCTGCGGTCTCTGCAGCACTGTCTGGACGCCGAGGTGCCTTCCCCTAAAGTGACTGTGGCACAGCAGCAGTTCGCTGTTCTCAGTGATGTTGTAAAAGGGCTTACTGGTGTCAAGATACTTCCTAATGCGACAGAACCTTTCCCACCGCTTTGCAGTTCTGTGAGGTTATGGCATGGCACAACGGAGCTACTCCTTTCTTTTTCTGGAAATGAATGCAAAGAGAAGGGAGAGAGCGAGACAGCGAGAGGGAGCAAGGTGAGCCTCAGACATCCCGCGTGTTTCCCAGAGGAGGAAGAAGTCCCTGACCCTCTGCCAGATCAGCGCCACACAACAAGATGGTGCTCCAGAAAGGCTGGAATTGAGGTTTTTGACCTCAACGGATGCCTGTGAAACAACGAAACCAGTAACAAAACAGGACACTCGCCTTCCCCCCCCAGACCATACAACCACAAATTCCAGCGCATTGAACCACATCACTTGAACAGCAGAGAGGTTCTGAGTGGCATCGAGCTGCGCCATGGCAGCAGCCGAGGCTCCCGGCGCAGACAGCAGAGCACTTCAGAGATTCCAACCACCAAGCTGGCAGCTGCATTGGCTTCGGTGTCTAGCACAGAGCCACCCTGAGTGCTTGGCCAGGCTCTTGCCCACACACCACAGTGGCAAGCATGAGCTAACTGGAGGCTGCTGCCAGAAGCGGTGGTCAGTCCCACCCTCCTCCTCTCGTCTCCTCCATCTCTGACCCTGCCCCTTCTCCTCCCCCATGCCTACCACGCATGAAAGCCACAGAGGTGCCCGAATTTTATCTGTTCGTTGTCCAGGGTAGGTTTCAGCCAGAGCAACCAGCCCCGGGATTCCTCCCACCACTCCCGAGCTGGCGCAAGGGATGGGAAAGCACGTTGGGGAAGAGGGAGAAGGCACAACTCACTCCTCAGCACCACAGCACGGCCTTGGAGAGGGTGAGTCAACAGTGCAACCACATCGTGTTTTCGAGGATGGCAGCAACAATGATACACTATTTTAAAGTCTGAGCTTTTCCTTTTTTCCCTTGGCTCAGAGGTTCCCCACCACGTTTGCCTTGTATCTAGAGCTGCACTGATCCCTCTCATGGTTTTGTTTCTGCAAGAGAAAAGAGCAGCCCCTGCCCCATGGGCACCCACATCTCACCTCTCCTGACTTCACCCGTGAGTGCAGCCCACCCTGCCTCCCAGCTGGGAGACACCCTCTGAGAGGAGGCAATGCCGACTGTCAGGGGGAAGAGGGGGTTTTTCAGTCCGAGGTATGAACCAGATAGGAAGGGATGGCAGGGAACTGAATGGCAGGAGTTTGTCTGGAGACCTCCTCTACCACGCTCTTCACTGAAGCAGAGGCCCAGGACCCTTTTGCTACGACAGGAACCCTACTCCCAGGGAAACCGTCAGAGGAAAGGCTTTGATGTCCCCACACTACAGATGTTCCCCATAAGAGGAATATTACGGCTGTACAAGAGCACTTGTCATAGGAAGAAAAACATTGCAGAGATCTAAAACGGAACAGCCCCGGCAGATCTATCGGCTGACATAAAACTCAAAATAATCTTTCACGCCTACATTTCCCGTGAAACACCAAAAAGACATCAAAAGAAATTATGTTGCTGATTTCAGCCCAGAAAGAGGTACAGCGAAAAATTACTACATCCTTAACCTGCTCCTGATAGCTTTGGTCAGTCCTGTTCAGACGAAAACAACAGACAGAAATGATGTAATCTTAGCAAGTGTTACTTTAATTCATCAGCACTCATTCTGTATCTCTTTTCTTCCAAGCAATCGTATACCGAAACGTGTGCAGACAAGGCTGGCCTCCAGCAGTGCTCTTGTGTTTTGTTCTCTGCTTTCACATAAACTCCACACAGACGGTAATGTACACGTACTTACACACATACACAGAGAGAGGTACTGGCAAAAGCAAGCTCTGTATGGGGCTGAGCAATCACGAGACATCTTTCACTAGAAATGTTAAGAATGTGCAGGTGCTTCTGTATTTAGAAAGGGATTTATAATGCAGAGATGGACTTTGAGCGAAGAGAGTATCCTCCGCAGCAGGATTTACACTACGCCTCGCTTCGAGGACTGTTTGGGAGCTTTAATTCCCCGTGGCGAATCTGTATCAAACCTGGGATAACACTGAGACAAGATCAAATAGTGACGATTGCTTGTGAGAGCTCATTTTTGTGCCTCCCTATATTCCACTATCTTTTTTTTTGATTTGGGGTGGGGTTTTTTTGGTAATAAATTGACACAGAGCTGCTGCGACAAGCTGCATGCAAGAACCTTTTCCTATCAAGTCTCATATCAAGACGGTATTTGGCAAAGCCTTGCAACCCCCCGAAGAAGAGAGCTGGGATTTATTCTGAATGCAGTACTCACAAGCAGAGCTGGCCAGCCTGACCATGCTGCAACAGCCAAAGGCCAAACCCTGCCCCTTTCCCTGTGTGTTGGTGCTTTGATCTTACAACTTTTCTCAGAATTGGAGATGTGATGGGCAGACTCTTTACATGATGGATTTTAAGCCTAAAACTCAAGTAAAACCTTGGATCTTGTATATTTCAGTCATATCTGAAAGTGGTCCTTAAGCTCCTAAGCTTTTTAGATGTTTCTGACAGAGATACTCAAGAATGTAACAAACACATCAATTTTCACATAAACCTCACTTCAAAAAAGGAGCAAAAAAATATGCTCATTATTTTGCTTAGCTTTTTATTCCACCATTATGGCACAAGATAGAACTTAAAGACAACATCACTGAATGAGTCTTCAACTTCATTAAAATTAAGACTAATATGTTTTATAAAATTCTTTTGATATGATACACTTTCCCTTATCAAGTGATAAAAAGAATTTTCTCTAGAATACTGAAGTACATTGCCACCTGCTGGCCATAAACATTTTCGCAATTTAAAAACACCAGAATGTGTACAAAACAGCAACATTTAACAATGCGACATACAGTTACTGAAGAAGTACTATTAACCCAAATTTTGGCACAATATTTATCGAAATGCAGCTGTGAACTTCTCCAAACGTCATGTCCATTTCTGAAACTCTGTGTGATTCCCTTTCGTATGTCTGTTTGCATTTTTTTTCTAACTTCCCTACTTCCCTAATGCTGAAGCTTTGTTATTTCAAAGGAAAAGCCATATTCTTTCTCAGTTGTTACACACCTCAATTTATTAGGTTTGGTTTTCTAAAATTTGGATTCCAGTTTATTGTTTTAGAACAATACATAAAATCATACATTTATAAATATATATATTATATCCTGTATACATAACATTGGTTTTCCTCCAGAATGGGAGGACAGACCTTTGCACTACATCCTTAGTTGGTTTAGGTATGGCCTTGCTCTTAGTTGATTCTCTGCGCTGCTTCCTACCAGAATCTAAAAAAATATCTCTACAATCTTGTATCAAATTTTAATTTCGTTTGCAAATATATTTATAAGAAAAAAATATTTGGTTATTTTCCCCTCTAAGCTTACTATTACCCTCATAAAATATATGGCTTTTCATGTTCCACTCTATTTTAGTGTTTTTCGATAGGCAGTGAAAAGAAGGACAACTTCCCCCTTTAACAGTTTGGGTTTTTATATATAAGCACAGAAACCAGCTTGTGCACTTTCTATAGAATTCCAATGCATATCACGGTAATGTAAGTGCAGTGATTTAAAAAAAAAGTAGCAGTCATGATTGATGGACATCTGTATATGAAAACATAATATATGATTATCATACAATACCCATTACAGAATATACAATCATGAAAACTGCAGATATATAAATATATTTTAAGCAACATCAAAGCAACAGTTTTATCTTATACACAGCGTATGCATACTGAGTTATGGGACTAAAATTTTCACCTTCTTTTTTCCTCAGAAGTTTGCTGAAAAACAGGAACGTACTGTATTTGTAAATGGACTGCTTGACAGTGCTGTTAAGAAATTAAAGTGAACAAAGTTTAAAAAAAGTATATGCAATTCAGTCGGTATAAAACAAACCAGCCCCCCCCTCCCCCTCTTTTCCAATGTCACCGTTGTTTTCCTGTGAGGCAGAGGCATAGGCATGGGCGGCAGTTCTGCAGAGTCCGATCATACCAGGGTTTCTGGGAGGGCGTCGGGGTTATCAGCTGATAACAGCTCCCAGATTTGCCACTTCTCCCTTTGCCAATCATGCCAGTCCGCCTCCGAAACGGTTTTACTGTTCTGACTGTGTGGCGGTGCCGTGGAAAAGATGTGACCCGCTTGGGCGCGTGGGGCCGGCCGCTCCGGCCGGGAGGTGGCCTGCTCGGGGGCT